GCAATCTCCAGCATCATTTCTACCACCAAGGCCATATTTTCCAACTACTGATCCTTCCTCTATGTTCCCAACCTTTGTATTCCAATCAACAGTAATGATCAATACATCTTGATTGCATGTTTGATCAATTTCAGACTGAAGAAGTTGGTAGAATTCTATTTCATCCTCAATGGCTTTAGTGGTTGGTGCATAAATTTGAATAATAGTGGTATTGACTGGTCTTCCCTGTAGGTGCATGGATCTTATCCTATCACAGACAGCGTTGTACCTCATGACTGATCTGAATATGTTCTTTTTTACAATGAATACAACACCATTCATCTTCAATTTGTCATTCCCGAAATAGTAAACCATGTGGTTGCCAGAATCAAAATGGCCACGACCAGTCCATTTCAGCTCACTAATGCCCAAAATATCAAAGTTTATGCATTCCATTTCATTAAAAAAAATTTTTTTAAACATTTTATTGGGAAACTTTGTGAAGGTTTACAGAACAGATTATCAGTCCTACATTCACCAAATTATACGATTCATTTCAGTTATAATAATTACCAATCACTGTGTACCATCAATTAACAGCAATTACTTCTATCATGATAGAATGTTTCATTTAGCAAGAAAATCTTTTCTTAACTTTTTACAAAAGTATTCTCATACACTATTTGCCTTTTTGTGATTGACTAATTTCACTCAGCATGATGTCCTCCAGGTTCATCCATGTTGTGAGGTGTTTTGCAGATTCTTCATTATTCTTCAGTGTTGTGTAGTATTCCATTGTGTATATGTACCAGATTTCCTTTAACCATTCTTCTGTTGATGGGCATTTAGGCTGTCTCCATCTTTTTTGCTATTGTGAATAGTGCTACAATGAACATGGGTGTGCATATATCTAGTTGTGTTAGTTCTTGAGGATACATGCCAAGTAGAGGAATTGTTAGGTAATACAGTATTTCTATTTTCAACTTTTTAAGAAAACACCATACCATTGTCCACAGTGGTTACCCCATTTTACAGTCCCACCAGCAGTGTAGTATGATGCTATAAGATAAGCACTGGACCACAAGGTTGATTTGAACTACAAGGTCAGTGCTTCAAGCTTACCAGTCACTCCTCAGAAACCCTATGGGTAGGAACCAACTTGGTGGCACTTAAAAATAACAGCAACATCTAATGATCATGAACATTTCTTCATGTTTGTTGGCTGCCTGAATGTCTTCTTTGGTGAGGTGCCTGTTCATATCCTCTGCCCATTTTTTAATGGGGCTATTTATATTCTTCTTGTTGAGGCATTGAAGTGTTCTATAAAATTTGGAGAGTCTGATATGATGTTGTCAAACATTTTGCCCATTCTGTGTGTTCTCTTTTTAATCTTTTTTTTTTCATGTTTTATTGTGAATTATATGATATTTTACATGAGAGAACTTTAGTTTTATATTCATTCCATTGTATATCGTCTCCTTGACATGGTTCCACTCCCCTCCATGCATCATCAACAGACCAAAGAGTATTCCCTATAAGCCCACCCCCTACACACCCATTCTTCAGGACCCAGTCCCTCTCCCTCTCTGGATCCAAAGTCCCCATCTGCTTCATCACTCCATGTCATCGTCTCTGCCTCCATCTCGGGCCTCGCTGCTTCTCTGGGTAGGGTCCCACTCTCGGCTCTTCTCCTTTGATGGTCCCAGAGACCTCCACTCCTAGACTGGAGAGTTAATAACTCCCTTCCTTGCTACCAAATGTCTACTTTTACATTACCAACCCTCACAATCAGTCCTGATAACAATCATTCACTATTGTATCACAAGTGACCCTTCTGCATTTCATTTCATCAGCTCCGCCTAGACAGATTGCATTCCATTTCATTTTTGACAATTTCTAATTTTCCTAGATTCATGCTTTGTACATTCCATGTTTATGCTCTAAAAGTAGGGTATTCTGATTTAATCCTATAAGACATTTTCTAATCCATTTCCAGGCAAGGAAATCACAGCAGTTGTTATTAGGTGCCATTGAGTTGGTTATGAATTATAGCAACTTTATGCACAACAAAATGAAACACCGTTCCTGCACCATCCTCATAATCATAGTTAAGACTGAGACCATTGCTATTGCAGCTCTGCCAGTCCATCTCCTTGGGGGTCTTCCGTTTTTTCTTTGATCCTCCTCTTTACTACTTTACCACTTCCTATTCAGTTCTTTTATTTTCTCATACTAGCATGATGTCCTTCTCCAGGACTGGTCCCTTCTGATAATATGTCCAAAGTATGAGAGATGAAGTCTGACCATCCTGGCTTCTAAAGACCATTCTGACTGTACATCTTTCAACACATATGTATTTGTTCTTCTAGCAGTCCATGATACTTTTAATATTCTCCAACATCATAACTCATATACATCAATTTTTCTATGGTCTTCTTTATTCCTTGTCCAGCTTTCACATGCATATGAAACTATTGAAAATACAATGGCAGGTGCACCTTAGACTTCAAATTCACAGCTTTGCTCTTGAACACTTTAAAGGGATGTCTAGTGAAGGAGATTTTCCCAATACAAAACATCATTTGATTTTTTGACTACTGCTTCCATGAGTGTTGATAGTGGATCCAAGCAAAATGTAGTCTTTTACAACTTCAGTCTTTTCTCCATTTATCATGATGCTATTTATTGCTCTAGTGGTAAGGATTTTTATTTTCTTTATGTTGCCGTGCAACCCATACTGAAGACTCTGGTCTTTGATCTTCATCAGTATTTTAAGTCTCCTTCGCTTTTAGCAAGCAAGTTTCTATCATCTGCATATCACAGATTGCTAATGAAGTCTTCCTCCAATCGTGATGCCGTGTTCATATAGCCCATCTTCTTAGATTATTTGGTCAGTGTACAGATTGAATAAGTGCGGTGAAAGAATATAAACCTGGCACACACCTCTCCTGATTTTAAACCATTCAGTGGCCCCATATTCTGTATGAACAGCTGCGTTTTGGTGAATGTACACGTTCCTCATGAGCACAGTGAAGTGTTCCAGAATAGTCATTATCTACAGTGTTATCCATAGCTTGTCATTATCCACACAGTCTAAAGCTTTTGCATAGTCAATAAAGCACAGGTAAACATCTTTCTGGTGTTCTCTGCTTTCAGCCAAGATCCATCTGATGTCTGTAGTGATAACCCTCACTCCATGCCCTAATCTGAATCTTCCTTGAACCTCTGGCAGTTCCCTTTCAATGCATTGTTACAGCCACTTTTGAATTATCTGTAGAAAAAATTTACTTGTATGTGATATTAATGACATTGTTCAATGAATTCCACATTCTGTTAGGTTACCTCTCCTGTAATGGGTGCAGATATGGATCTGTTCCAACCAGTTGGCCAGGTAGCTGCCTTCTAAATTTCTTCACATAGATGAGTAAGTGCCTCCAATGCTGTATCAGTTGGTTGAAAGATTTAAATTTATAGTCTATCAATTCCCAGAGCCTTGTTCTTTGCCAATGCCTTCAGTGCACTTTGCACTTCTTCCTTCAGTACCACTGGCTGTTGGTCGTATGCTGTCTCTTGAATGGTTGAACACTGAGCATTTCTTTTTGGTTCAATAACTCTGTGGATTCCTTCCATCATCACTTGATGCTTTCTGCATCATTCAGTAGTTTGCCCAAAGAATCCTTCAATAACACAAATTGAGGCTTGAATTTTTTCTGTTCCCTCAGCTTGAGAAATGCTGAGTGTGTTCTTCCCTTCTGATTTTCAAACTCCAGGTCTATCTCTACACTGGAGAGTAATTTTTAGAGTCTCTTCTGACATCCATTTTGGTCTTTTCCTTCTTTCATACTTTCTTAATAACCTTTTGCTTTCTTTCTGCAAAAAGTTCTTAATGTCATCCCACCACTCTTCTGGTCTTTGGTCATTAGTGTCTAGTGCATTAAATCATCTTGAGATGATCTCTGAATTCAGGTTGGATATGTTCAATGTTAAATTTTGGCTCTCATTGATTTGTTTGAATTTTGTTCTGCTTCAGCCTGAATTGCATATGAGTAATTTATGGTCTGTTTTATAGTCTGTCCCTCATCTTGTTTTGGCTGATTATATGGTGCTTTCCTACTGTCTCTTCCCACAGATGTAGTCAGTTTGATTTCTGTGTATTCAGTCTGGTGAGGTCCATGTGTATAGTCATCTTTCATGTTGTTTAAAAAGGTATTTAAAATGAACAAATCATTGGTCTTGGCAAAATTCTATCATATGATCGCCAGCATCGTTTCTATCATCAAGGCCATATTTTCCAACTACTGATCTTTCTTTGTTTCCAACCTTTGCATTCCAATCACCAGTAATTGTCAATATATCTTGATTGCATATTTAAATCAATTTCAGACTGAAGAAGTGGTAGAATTCTTCAATTTCATCAACCCTGGATTTAGTGGTTGTAAATATGAATAATATGAGTATGAAAAGGAAATATAAATAATAGTGGTATTAACTGGCCTTCCTTCACAGACAGCATTATACTTCAAGTTAGGTCTTGAACTTTTTTTTTTTTTTTTTAAATGATGAATGTGATACTATTCCTCTTCATTTTATCATTCCCTGCATAGTAAACCCATATGAATGCCAGATTCAAAATGGCCAATACCCATTCATTTCAGTTCATAAAAGTATTCTTTAGGAAATTCTTCACAAAGAACCAAAAATATGATACTCAAAAATTACATTCTTTGACCCTCTGCTCTTCTACTTGTTGCCATACCCTGGCTTTGCCCTCCAACTTGCAGAAAAAAACATGATTTATTTTGGCCAGGCCTCTCTGTGGTGCTGTAGGATAACCACTTGGTTGGCTGTTCAAACCACCAGCCACTCCTCTGAAACCCTCCACAGGTCACTATGAGTCGGAACCAACTTAACAGCACTGAACAACATCAAGGCCTCTCTGTGAGCTTCTCCTTTACTCTCCTCTGGAGTGTGACATGGAGGGAATGTGTTACTCTACTGACTTGTGATATTTTCTTTTTCAGAACCAGAGGCAGGAGAGGTGTCCCCTCCAGTGGGGGCTGGTGTCAACAGCAACAGTTGGACCTTTAAATACGGACCCGGCAACCCCAAGCAATCTGGCCCCGGTGAGTTGCCAGACAAATTCATTATCCCAGGATCTCCTGCAATCATCTCCATCCGGCAGGAGCCTACTAACAGCCAAATTGACAAAAGTGACTTCATAACCTTCGGCAAAAAAGAGGAGACCAAGAAAAAGAAGAAAAAGAAGAAGGGTAGCAAGATCCAGGAGAAAAAAGAGAAAGGGAACAGCACGACTGACAACAGTGACCAGTGAGGTCATCTAATGGAAACAAGCCACTTAGCCAATTTTTGTAACAATGGCAAATCTCCCATGTAGCAAATCCCTCTTCCTTTCTCCTGACCACATGAGCCCTCTCTTATAGACCTCAGAAATCTGCTGAAAGTTCTCTATGTCTGTCTAGATCGCATTTAACAGATTTTGTCTTGAAAGCTTTACTAAGTCTGGTGTTAACTCTTTTCTCTCCACTCTGGCTTGTTTTCAGAACCTAAAAAGCAGACCCAAGTTTCCTTTCTCCTCCGCCGCAAAGGAGTGGCTTCCCAGCCCTGCCAGTGAGAGGTTGGACTCTCTGCCCTGTGCTCCGGGGATCCTGTCTTGATGACACTTGCAGGGCAGGCTGAAAGATTTTGAGATTGAGCAGCTTGGGTGTTTGTGGCCACTGGGTATGTGTGGCCAACCAGGGTTAAGAGTGCCAGGTATCCATCAACTGGGATGGGTCAGATGTGACTACTTGGTGCAAGAAGGGCTGGGAAACAAAGGCAAATAATCAGTGGGAATTACAGCCTGAAGGGGAATTGTGAAATTAAAGGGGACCAGACTTCCTAAATCTTAAAATTTAAACGGTGGTGGCCACCATCTAGCAGACAAAACTTCCCCCACTGACAAGGCTTTAGGAGTACTTAAAGTCTGTTGGCTGTGTGTCATCCTGAATCCTGTGTTATATCTACAAGCCAATATTTCAGTGTTTAACAGGGGACCACTCGGGAACAGAAGCAGATCTGATGAGTTTCCTGTATATGTCCTTGTGCTCACTTTATTAAAAATTCTTTTGCACACAATGTTTATGAAAAGGTTAGATCCTTTTCCAATAACACATATGCAAAAGCAAAAGAAAAAAGAAAACCCCAACACCTCACTTTATGCTGTTTGTTCTTTGATAGATTTATTTTAAAAGAGAAAATCTATAGCTATAAATCTTTAAAGAGAAATATGATGAATACAATTCCCCTAAATTCCCCTTAAAAAGAGAATTCAGTCTACAGCCATTTAAGTGATCATTGCTGCTACAGAAGTGCTTTAAGAGAATTGCCTGAAACATCTGTATTATACTGGCCACCTGCCAATCACAGCTTTACTCTTTCAGGTCACTCTGGGGCTGCCTCTTGCATGTATTAATTACTAAATAAAAGGATCTCTCTCTCTCTTTTCTAAGAAACAATTATGTGCACTTTGAATACACAACCTTCTCCAACCAACTCTTTCAAGACCCAGAAATTGAAGAAAAATAATGTTTTCTCATACATACAGTGAGCAGATTTTTCAGTCCTCTAAGTCTGTGACTTGTCTTGGTATACTAGCCTACACTTTCTCTTTGGTTTAGTTTTCCTTTTCTCTAACACTCTGAATTGCTAATCATACTAACACCTATGATGTTACCTGAACTCAATCTCCCATATGTATGCTGTATGCTATTATAAGACTCCTGAAATATACTTACTCTGTGCTTGTGTATGTGAATGTTAATGCAACTATTACCTAGAGTGAACTTTAAGCTTTATTATTGAATGTAATTCCATTATATTTCTTTTTTGTACACCTGTGAAAAAGTGAAGTTGTGTTTTTTAACCATTGTTAATCAGCTTTTGTGTATGAAAGACATAGTAAAATTTCTTTCTTAAATCAAGATACTGGTGATTCAAGGAATTTTATTTATGGTCAGCCAAGAGCCATCTCTTGCCAAGACTCCTGCTGACAATGGAATAGATAAAGCTGTTTTCTTCTAGTAACAATTCTGGAATGAATATGGAAGATATCCTCTGAGGGTGTGCAAGCACAAAACTTACCAATCTGACCTCTTTGAAGTCACAGAATGCTTTGAAATTGATATCTAGAATATCAGTTCATAGAGAACAATAAAATTTTCTGTCACCTTAAATAAGAAATTTCAATTTTGTTAAAATGTAAAATTTAGAAGTTTGATTCATTATATTATCTATTTAAAAGTTAGTATAAAAGATGTAGGAGTTTGTTACAAAAAAAAAAGCATTAAATAGCAAAAAAAACAAATCTGTTCTGTCTACTTTTAGCTTCATTCTCCCATATTATGAAGGGTGTGTAACTTCAGCTCTGCAGGATCGTATGGGGTAAAACTTATTGCCAACACATGTGAACCATTGCTACATTGTAGGCTGTGATCATTTTACCCCACTGAAGCCCATGTATCTGACCTTACGTGCCTTTTGAATACTAGGAGAATCGGGCTAATTTATTAATGATGATAATTATAATGTATCTGTACAGCACTCTTTACTTTTGCAAAGTGCTTTCCAGTCCATGTTAGTTACTAGTTATTACAGCTGTAAGGATAAAACACGTCATGTGAATTCATTTTTAATTGGTGCTATTGGTATTTCCTCTGTTATTGCTAATAAATGGAAAATGGTGGTATGAAAGAAATGGTGGTCATTTCTAAGAGTAGGAGAAAAGAGAACATTGATTATCATTAGCTATTATTCTTAAAGAAGGTTGCTGCTGTATGAAACTTAACATATCACTCTGGGCTATCACTGTGGCCTTTATGTTCATTACTAAGACAAAACACACAACAGAATCAAGACTGAAATTCCACAATATTATTATAATGGGCAACCAGAAGGTTGCTGGGTCACTGTTCACAATACACTACCAGTCTTCTCTAAAATGGATTTTAATGAACCAGTTTTTATCATTAGACCTCCTCCAGTCATCTTCTCTATTATTTGTTTAGTCCTTGAACCTCTCAACAATTGGGAAGCCAAATAATGTGGTGCTGTGGGCTAATGCACTGGATTGCAAAGTTGTTTAAACCACAGGGTCAGTGGCTCAAGCTTACCAGCTGCTCCTTAGAAACCCTATACAGGGTTGCTATGGTTTGGAACCAGCTTAATGGCACTTAACAACAACAACACACATATATTGAGTATAGGTTATATCGTAGTCACTGTACTAGGTAGGCCGTGCTCATAGTACTTGTTCAGTAACAGATTATGTTTTCCTTCTGTAGGTAAATTTTTATGAACACAGGTTTTAGAAGCAATGTTTCTCAATCAAAGGCAATTCCTCCAGAGAACATTTGGCAACATCATTTTTGTTTGTCATTACTAGGTTGGGGGTGGGTAGGTGCTACTGGCATCTAGTAATTAGATGCTAGGGATGCTGCTAAACACCCTATACTGCACAGGGCAGCTCCCCTACAACAGAGTTTTTGGCCCTATATACCAATATGCTTAGGTTGAGAAATCTTGAGATAGAGTGACTGTATAATTTGTTGCTGTCCAGTCTGCTTTTTATATGGAAAGCTGACACCATTAATAATTACTTTAGGATACATAATGTAAATTGGGACCATCTCAGGCAAAGTAGGATGTATAGTGACTCTACTTATAGAAAGAAGTAAACTGGTATAGCTCTGTAACTTACCAGTTGAGGCATCTTGGGTAAGTCACTACTTTCTCAGATTTTCAGTTTCAATTTTCTCATCTATAAAATGGAAATAATTATAGTTCTGGCCTTATGGATTTGTGGGGATTAATTAGTGAGATAATCTTTTAGAGTTTTTTTAGCACAGTGTCTGGTACAGCATGTTACAGGTATTGTTTATTAGGTGCCATCAAGTCAGTTCCTACTCATAATGACCCTGTGTATAGCAGAACGAAGCACTGCCCAGTTCTGCACCATCTTTACCAGCATCCCTATGTTAGAGCCCATTGTTGCAGTCAGGTTTTGATTCATCTTGTTGAGGGTCTTCCCCCCTTTTACTGACCTTCTATTTTACCAAGCATGTTGCCCTTCTTCAGGAACTGATAACATGTCCAAAGTGTTTAGTAAACAGCAACTGCTGCTATTAGTATCCTTTTCTTCTTTTCCTCAGTCTTTTTTTTAATAGATGTTTATTAGATTCAAGGCTCCTTTCCTACTGACTAAAAATGATTGAGGGATAGCTTTATCAATAAAAAGATTTTATTTATTTCTTTGCATTTTTACTCACTCCTGAAGTTAAATAAATGAAATTCCTATCCTACTTCTATCATGAATACTAACCAGTTCTCTAAGTGATCAAATGACCTACCTGTTTACAGCTGTTCCACCTCAATTATCAATGATCTGAAAACCAGGGAGCAAAGAGCTTAAACTCATTAAATATATGTATGTTCTAATGAATAAATCCTACGTGAGTCTAAGTACATTCACTTGAGAAAGATATGCACCTCCAACAACTTTTGGCAGATAAGTGAAATAGAAACACCAAGAAGTCCACGACTTGCCTAGTGTTCCAAGTTGCATCTCTCATAAAAGCCAAGCAACTTGACATGTGACTCATACACAGAAAGTGGGATTTATTGTTTATAATAATTTCAATTGTTCTAATCTGAAAGGATGCAGTTTCTCAGTGAGTATCTAGAACCTTGGTTTTTGGATAATTAGGTTCCTAGGTAAGATTCTGAGTCCCAGGATTCCATGCTAGGAATCTTTATATATTAGAATTTGGTTTTTAAGTTATATATATATATAACACTTGTGCCAATTCTAAAGCACAAGTGTAATTGATCAACTATTAATGCAATTCTAGTGTTTAATCTGGATTTTTAAAACCACCAAAACTTTAAGAGGCACACTAAAATGCTTGAAAAATCCCAGAAGTTTCACAAGAAATGGAAAATTGACCACTTCTTGACTGTGTTTCTTTGTCTTTTAATGTGCTGCTGCTTCTTGTACAAGAAGCAGATCACATTATTTTCCCAGTTTAAGCTTGACTATTGGGCAGCTAGAGTCCTGGTGTGGCCCTGTAGAATAAACACTACTTATTGGTATACTAACAGAAAGGTTGACAGTTCCAACCCACCAGTTGCTCCTTGGAAACCCTATACAGGGTTATTAGGAATCAGAACCAACTCGACTGGCACTTAACAACAATTGGCTAGTTGGGCATGTGACTTACAAACTGAGAAATCACTTCTGATTTTCAGGCTGTGTGCTTACACACACTACTATTTTAAGTGTTGAGGGGACATTGGTAAGTGACTGTGGTGCTAGTCTCCCTGAAGTTGTGCTTTAAAGTGATACATAGAAACAACATTACTGTTACACCAAAATCAGTTGCTCTGAAGTTGATTTCAGCAAATAGCAACTTCATGTGTATCAGAATAGAACTGTGCTCTGTAGTTTTCAGTGGCTGAATTTTTGGAAATACATCACCACCAACCTTTTTGGTTAGTAGCTGAGCACTTAAGAAATTTAGTAGCTGAGTGTTTAACTATTTGTGCCACCCAGGGGCTTTTAAAATTATTATAACACATTAGATAAAATGTTGGTTCCAATTTTTTTCTGGGGTTGATCCAAAGGGAAATGCTGCTGAAACAAAATTATTATTATAATTCAAAAGTCTAATTTTTCCCTCAAAAATTTTAGGAGCTCGTCTCTGAACTTATATTCCTGTGAGATGGACACTAGTAGCTTTAGATCCACAATATGGAAACTAGTTTGCATCAGAAATGAAGGATACTGGGTAGTGAAAAACATAAAGTCTAACAATTTGTTAGTTTTATGTACTCATCGTGTTACTTGGATATCATCAATCCACAAAGACAGCATTAACAATTTAGACAACCACTCAGCTATGACTGTTCTTTGCTGTTGTTGTTGTTAGGTGCCATCGAGTCGGTACTGACCCATAGCAACCTTACGCACAGCAGAACGAAACACAGCCCGATCCTGGGCCAATCTCACTACTATTGCCATGCTTGAGTCCATCAATGCTGCCACTTGGCCAATCCATCTCATTGGGGGTCTTCCTCTTGTTCTCTGACCCTCCACCTTACCAAACATGATATCCTTC